TGACGTGCTTTATCAAGTGCGGGTTCCAAACAGGTGCTGCATACACCAGTATGGGCCTGACATACACGGTGTACAGTGTCTTGAACGATTCCTTACTAACGTATCGGAATGCTGTTCTCAGGTTTGCCAGGCGCCCATATGCTGCAGCAGTTATCTGATTGATGTGTGCTTCCGGAGACATGCTCGGTGTTATACTCACCCCAAGATCTTTCTCTTTGAGTGAGGTTTGCAGTCTTTGACCACCTAGCCTATACTCTGTCTGTGGTCTTCTGTGCCCTTCCCCTATCTTCATGACTTTGCATTTGGCAGGATTAAATTCGAGAAGCCATTTGCTGGACCAGGTGTCCAGTCTGTCCAGGTCTCTTTGAAGTCCTCCCTGGTCCTCATCAGATTTAATTCTCCTCATTAACTTCACATCATCTGCAAACAGGGACACTTCTGAGTCTAACCCTTCCATCATGTCGTTCACATATACCAAAAATAGCACTGGTCCTAGGACCGACCCTGTGGGACCCCGCTCGTCACAGGTGCCCACTGTGATACATCATTACGTACCATGACTCGTTGTTGCCTCCCTGTCAGGTATTCTCTGATCCATTGCAGTGCCCTTCCTGTTATATGAGCCTGATGCTCTAGCTTCTGCACTAATCTCTTGTGAGGAACTGTGTCAAAGGCCTTCTTGCAGTCCAAGAAGATGCAATCAACCCACCCCTCTCTCTCGTGTCTTACTTCTGTTATTTTATCATAAAACTCCAGAAGGTTTGTGACACAGGATTTGCCTTCCATGAATCCGTGCTGGTTGGCATTTATACTCTTGTTCCGTGTGTGTGTGTGTGTGTGTTTGTGTGTGTGTGTGTGTATATATGTATGTGTGTGTGTGTGTGTGTGTGTGTGTGTGTGTGGACTCACCTAATTGTACTCACCTAATTGTGGTTGCAGGGGTCGAGACTCAGCTCCTGGCCCCGCCTCTTCACTGATCGCTACTGGATCCTCTCTCTCTCTCTGCTTCCTGAGCTTTGTCATACCTCTTCTTAAAACTATGTATGGTTCCTGCCTCCACTACTTCACTTGCTAGGCTATTCCACTTGCTGACAACTCTATGACTGAAGAAATACTTCCTAACGTCCCTGTGACTCGTCTGAGTCTTCAGCTTCCAGTTGTGACCCCTTGTCCCTGTGTCCCCTCTCTGGAACATCCTATCTCTGTCCACCTTGTCTATTCCCCGCAGTATCTTGTATGTCGTTATCATGTCTCCCCTGACCCTTCTGTCCTCCAGTGTCGTCAGTCCGATTTCCCTGTGTGTGTGTGTGTGTGTGTGTGTGTGTGTGTGTGTGTGTGTGTGTGTGTGTGTGTGCGTGTGTGTGCGTGTGTGTGTGTGTGCGTGTGTGTGTGCACTCACCTAGTTGTACCCACCTAGTTGTGGTTGCAGGGGTCGATTCATAGCTGCTGGCCCCGCCTCTTCACTGGGCGCTACTGGGTCACTCTTTGTGCTCCATGAGCTTTATCATACCTCTTCTTAAAGTTACGTTTGGGTTCTTCATGTGTGTGTGTGTGTGTGTGTGTGTGTGTGTGTGTGTGTGTGTGTGTGTGTGTGTATGTATGTACTCACGTAATTGTAGTTGCAGGGGTCGAAACTCAGCTCTTGGCCCCGCCTCTTCACTGAGCGCTAATAGGTTCTCTCTCTCCTTGCTCCATGAGCTTTATCATACCTCATCTTAAAGCTATGTATGCTTCCTGCCTTTACTACCTCACTTTCCAGAATGTTCCACTTCCTGGCAACTCTGTGACTGAAGAAATACTTCATAACATCCCTTTGACTCATCTGAGTCTTCAACTTCCAATTGTGACCCCTTGTTTCTGTGTTCCATCTCTGGAACATCCTGTCTCTGTCCACCTTATCTATACCTCGCAAAATTTTGTATGTCGTTATCATGTCTTCCCTAACCTTCCTGTCCTCCAGTGTCGTCAGACCGATTTCCCTTAACCTTTCTTCGTAGGACAGTTCCCTTAGCTCTGGAAGTAGCCATGTTGCAAACCTTTGCACTTTCTCTAATTTCTTGACGTGCTCGACCAGGTGTGGGTACCAAACTGGTGCTGCATACTCCAGTATGAGCCTGACGTACACGGTGTACAGTGTCCTGAACGATTCCTTACTGAGGTATCGGAACGCTGTTCTTAGGTTTGCCAGGCGCCCATATGCTGCTGCAGTTATCTGGTTGATGTGTGCTTCCGGAGACGTGCTCGATATTATACTCACCCCAGGATCTTTCTCCTTGAGAGAGATTTGCAGTCTTTGGCCACCTAGTCTATACTCTGTCTGCGGTCTTCTTTTCCCTTCTCCGATCTTCATGACTTTGCATTTGGCTGAGTTGAATTCGAGTAGCCAATTGCTGGACTACGTGTCCAGCCTGTCCAGGTCTCTTTGGAGTCCTGCCTGGTCCTAGTCTGATTTAATTCTTTTCATTAACTTCACATATCTGCAAACAGGGACACTTCTGAATCTATCCCTTCCGTCATGTCATTCACATATACCAAAAACAGCATTGGTCTTGTTAATGACCCCTGTGTAACCCCGCTCTTCACAGGTGCCCATTGTGATACCTCATCTCATACCATGACTCATTGTTGCCTCTCTGTCAGATATTCTCTGATCCATTGCAGTGCCCTTCCTGTTATACGTGCCTGATCCTCTAGCTTCAGCACTAATCTCTTGTGAGGAACTGTGTCGAAGGCTTTCTTGCAGTCCAAGAAAATGCAGTCATCCCACCCCTCTCTCTCGTGTCTTACTTCCGTTACCTTGTCAAAAAACTCCAGGAGGTTTGTGTGTGTGTGTGTGTGTGTGTGTGTGTGTGTGTGTGTGTGTGTGTGTGTGTGTGTGTGTGTGTGTGTGTGTGTGTGTGTGTGTGTATGTGTGTGTGTTTGTGTGTGTGTGGGTGTGTATGTGTGTGTGTGTGTGTGTGTGTGTATGTGTGTGTGTGTGTGTGTGTGTCTGTGTGTGTGCGTGTGTGATTATTTTCTCAAAGGCACTTATTGATAAGACACCGTGCTCTGTGTGTGTGTGTGTGTGTGTGTGTGTGTGTGTGTGTGTGTGTGTGTGTGTGTGTGTTGTGTGTGTGTCTGTGTGTGTGCGTGTGTGATCAATTTCTCAAAGGCACTTGTTGATAAGACACCGTGCTCTGTGTGTGTGGGGGGGAGGGGGGGTGGAAGTATGATCACCTATTTGTGGTTGCAGGGGTCGAATAACAGCTCCTGGTATCGCCTCTTCGCTAAACGCTACTTAGTTTGCTCTTTATCGTGCCTCTTCTTAAAGCTATGTGTGGATTCTGCCTCTACCACATCACCCTCCAGATTGTTCCACTTCCTGACAACTCACTGACTCAAGAAATGCTTCCTAACATCCCTGTGACTCATCTGACTTTTTCACTTCCAGCTGTGATTCCTTGTTGCTGTGTCCCATGTGTGGGATGGCTGTACTCACTCGTTTGTACTAAAGTATTTGTGGTTGCAGAGGTTGATTCATAGCTCCTGGCCCCGCCTCTTCACTGATCGCTACTACTGTGTGTGTGTGCATGTGTGAACTTACCTAATTGTACTCACCCAAATGAGGTTGTAGGGGTCGATTCATAGCTCCTGGACCCGCCTCTCTGCTCCATGAGCTATATTGTACCGCTTCTCAAAGCTACGTATGGATCCTGCCTCCACTTCATCACTCTCCAGACTATTCCACTTCCTGTGAACTCTGTGACTGATGAAATGCGTCCTAACATCCCTTTGACTCATCGAAGTCTTCAACTTTTAACTGTGACCCCCTTGTTGCTGTGTCCCATTTCTGGAACATCCTGTCTCTATCCAGCTTGTCAGTTCCTCTCAGTATTTAATATGTCGTTATCATGTCCCCCCTGTCCCTCCTGTCCTCAGGTGGATTTCCCTTAACCTCTCCTCGTAGGACATGCCCCTTAGCTCCTGGACTAATCTTGTTACAAACCTTTGTACTTTCTCGAATTTCTTGACATGCTTGACCAGGTGTGGGTTCCAAACTGGTACTGCATATTCCTGTATGGGCGTGAGTGTGTTTGTTTGCATATGTGTGTATGTGTGTGTGTGTGCGTGTGTGTGCGTGTGTGTGTGTGTGTGTGTGTGTGTGTGTGTGTGTGTGTGTGTGTGTGTGTGTGTGTGTCCGCGCGCGTGGGCGCGTGGGTGCATCTGTGTATTTGTGTCTGGTTGATAAAACTCTTACTTTATGTGACTGTCATAAATTAATAAGATATATATATATATATATATATATATATATATATATATATATATATATATATATATATATATATATATATATATATATATATGTAGGTAGTAGGTTGGTAGACAGCAACCGCCCAGGGAGGTACTACCGTCCTGCCAAGTGAGTGTAAAACGAAAGCCTGTAATTGTTTTACATGATGTTGGGATTGCTGGTGTCTTTTGTCTGTCTCATAAATATGCAAGATTACAGGTAAGTCTTGCTACTTCTACTTACACTTAGGTCACACTAAACATACATGTACAAGCATATATATACACACCCCTCTGGGTTTTCTTCTATTTTCTTTCTAATTCTTGTTCTTGTTTATTTCCTCTTATGTCCATGGGGAAGTGGAACAGAATTCTTCCTCTGTAAGCCATGCGTGTCGTAAGAGGCGACTAAAATGCCGGGAGCAAGAGGCTAGTAACCCCTTCTCCTGTATTTATTACTAAATTTAAAAGGAGAAACTTCAGTTTTTTCTTTTGGGCCACCCCACCTCGGTGGGATACGGCTGGTACGTTGAAAAAAAAAAATATATATATATATATTATATATATATATATATATATATATATATATATATATATATATATATATTATATATATATATATATATATATTATTCACTCCTATGTAGATCAAAATTAGTTCTGTTTTTTTTATTTGTTTATCAGCGAAAGTGTGTAGAAAACCTACCATATTATTTTTCTCGTTACAGGAGCCAAAAGTTCTCCTTCCTCTTCTAACTCTCCCCCTAACTCATGGCTGTACAAGTTCCCTCCATGGTTTCTGCCCGGCAACCCCGCACCAGAAGGCTTCCACTCCCACAGCGACAGCCTCAAAATTTCAACACCAGAGTTCTCGAAGGTGGACGATGGCGACGTCCTCATCATCGACAACTTCGGTGTCAGTGATCCTGTCGGCCAGACCAACAACGTAAAAATTCCTGGCACCTCTCCGTTCAGAGACGAAGTTGTTCAGACGCTTATTGATGTGAAATTCAGTAGCGGCCAAAATCCCCTTTCCCAGGGTGGTAAGACCGCTTTTGAGGGTGTGCCTGATGAAGTGGTGACACCCTGGCTTGTGCCTCAGAGCGTGCCGCAGCCACCTCTGTTATCTCCGGCACCTACTGTGCCCTTCTCGTTCCAGGACGACAACACTGGTTTCGACAACAACCAAGTACAAGACCGACCTCACCAAGGCAAGTTTCACGTCGGAATCACCGCTAGGCGGCCACAGTCTAGCTTATCTCCCGTATTTAACACTAAACAAAATCTTCTCACTAAGGCTGTATTGGTAAACCCGACTCCAGCAGCATTTTTAAACAGGGGGTTCCAGCCTAGTCCACCTGACTTGCCGCCCACTGTGCGTCCCACTCATGCTGCTCAGGAAAAGCATTCTCCAAGTACTCCAGCCAGCTTTCGGGCGTCAAAGCTAATCTCAGTAACACGTGTAGGCGATGACTCGACTCTTGGGAACCCAGTAATTGCATCGCAGGGACAGCAACACAGCGTTGAGAATGGTAAATTTGACAAAATCATCAGTGATAACTTCTTCAGAGACCAACAAACAGTTCTGCTCAAAGCATCAGCCCGATCACAGTTGTCTACAAGCCAAAATCCTAGTCACGACAACAACGTGGGAAACACCCGGTCGTTTAGTAAACAAGATGGATCCTTATGGGTGCCAGTGCCCTTCATTCCTGGCGGGCCTGTGCCCAGCCTCCAGCAACATAGCCGACGGCTGTCAAGTAATAGAAATCAAAATGGGGATCTTCCCCAAGCATTACGGACTTTTGCCGTCAGCAACCTCCAACTGAGACAGCAGAATGAAGGAGAATCCAGACCTGAGTCTTTCCATTTTCCCACTAGCATTCAGGATATCATTAACAGCGACAGCGACACAGCGCAGCAACTGCATCAACTGAGAAACCCTAACATACCTGCCACCAAGAGCGGTGGAACTGCAAGCAAGGAAGAAAGAAATGATAAATGGTTTTGGCCGACCTCCTGATTAGTGGACGTGATCAACTTGGGTGGTGTGTCTGGACATATCTTGATTGAAAGCGTCCTTAATGACAGCTGAACAAGTTTTGATAGAGTACTGAGTGCTACAAAGCGACACTTTCCGTCATGGAAAGGTTTAAGTCGATGATGTGGCCTCCACTTCCCAAGAAAACATGAAAATATCCTCTAACGACTTCAAGTAGAAGCCGGTAAACTACAGAAATCTAAAAACTACTAAACACATTTTGTTTACCTTATGAAAATTATTTTATATCGATGCTCCACAAGGTAAAAGGTCTACTTTCCCTACAAAAGTCAGAAGCAACCTAAACAACTAGCTTAGTCTCCTAAGGCAGATCGTCACCGCGTTGAGGATACAGGTATCTTCTGTTTTAATTTATATTGTATATCTTATCCCAGGTATTTACCTCGTTATGAGACGTTTTGTAAATATTGGAGCATATCTGTATATAACGTTTGTAAATAAATAATAATTATTTTATCCTTGAGTTATTTATCGCCTGAAAACTTGTATACTTCGAGGGTTGTATATACTGTGTATACACAAGGAGAGTTTATTTCATTTTCTTAATAAAGTATCCTTGATTATAGATTGTAGATGGATTTAGGGCTTATGACCTTTATAAAGTCAACATGGCTAGTGGCTCAAGAAGTATCGTTTTCTACTCACATCTGAAAGACCTGAGATCAACTCCAGCAGAAGTGGAGAAGTTGCGCATGTCTCCTTTGTACCTGCAGGCTTCGCTCACTCCACTTAGCAGCCAGAAGATACCAGAGTTTTAGGTAAACACGATGGGTCGCATCCTGGGAAAGAGGATCAAAGATCTCAGTGGAAATAAGATTGACACAGTGACTCTGGGGTGATCCTGTGTTACTGACCTTCCAGGATAGTAAGTGCTACTGATCCTCCGGGGCAGTGTTACTGACCCGGAGGGATAGTAAGTGTTGCTGACATTTCAGGCAGGGACGAGGCACTTTAGGTTTGGGGGGCCCTCAACATGGAAATTAAATTGAATTACAAATAAGAAATGAACTAAGATAAATGATAAACAGCAGTTTTCCAAAAAAAAAAAAAAAGTTAGGTTTCGAAGAAGACGTCTGATTTTATTTTTCTAAATTTTATTGACTTTAAGAATATCTTTGACTATAATTTTCAGTTTGCAATATATTCCATCTACAGTATATAATAATTACCAATGTGTATTTATTTATGTCTTTGGTGTCATACTTTCGGTATCTGTCTATATATATTTTTTATATAATAATTTGCTAATGGGCCGACTGACCAACTAGACATTTAAGTTAATGTAATTTATAAGAGGAATAACTCAAAACCGTGTAACTTCAAGAAAGAAATTAATTCAATCCTTCTTTCTTCTTTTGTAAAAATTAATCCTATTACGATAGGTCAGCTTATAACGGCCAAGAAAGGGTTCTTCACGTTTTTTTTTTACTTTTTAGTTAATTTACCTTGTTATGGTAGTGCACCTCCAGGACACTTTAGTAAAATCATGCAACCCCCCCCCCCATCAAATTATAATATCTAACCTGTGTTTATTCATATCTTTGGTGCAGAAGTTCTAGGAAAAAATATATAAAAATGCATCAAAGGAGATAGGACAACATTAAAAGAGAAATTTATACCGATGAAAACAAAAACTGTACTGATGCAAAAAATTTATGCCCATGAAAAAAAATTATATAATAATAATTTCACAGGGAATGTATAAAATGTAAAAAGTAAGAATAAAAAGTATATGTTGCCTGGCTAAGATAACACAAGTCTAAAAATTGAATTTCTCTATAAAAGTTAACTACAAATAGTTTAGTGTAATCTATCATATAAAAAAAATATTGAATTTTAATATGATCATAAAATTTCTAAAAAAAAATTCTCTCAATTTAGTATGACTTATTGAATAAATCAGCTGACTTTCTAGTAGTGATGTTTACATACTGCTGTATATTATTGTATTCACACTAAATAATATAAATACATAAATACATACATATTTACACTTTACATACAAATTTACCCCAATTCATACATATATACACTTTTGAAGTCATTAGACTAGGATAAGTAAATTTCTTGCATAATCTTTCCATTCTGCAGCAAATCACCAAATTTACAAATCAAACATTACATAAGTAATTGGAATTACCAAACCATACATCACATTTATGCATCACATGATCACACTGCAGTATGTACAGAAAGTCTTTCTTTCTACACGTAGCATCTGCCAAATCTTTAACTAACTCATCAGACTGTATCTTCTTGAGGACACTGCTCTCAACACCCAATAGGCACACAGCACTTAGTCTTTCTTGGGTTACTGTCGTTCTCAGATAATTCTTTACCAGTGCCAATTTGGTAGATAAGACACATGGGCAACATTTAGGCAACTTTATTCCGAAACGTTTCGCCTACACAGTCGGCTTCTTCAATCGAGTACAGAAAGTAGGCGGGAGGGACTGACAACCTCAAATCTACGACTTCAAGGGTGATGGACTGATTACATCGTCTTCACATCTCTACTGCTCCCGCCTACTTTCTGTGCTCGACTGAAGAAGCCGACTGTGTAGGCGAAACGTTTCGGAATAAAGTTGCCTAAATGTTGCCCATGTGTCTTATCTACCAACCTGTCAGTATTGTATACCATTTGATAATCACCAGTGCCAATTTGCTGAACGGCCTTTCTCCCAAACAACTAGTGACCATCATGCTCAAATATATTCTAAGGTCTACATTAACACCTGTAAAGGTATCAGCAAGTCCTTCATCATGTAGTAAAACTATCTGTTGAGATGGAGTGAGACATGACCTGAGCTTAGCAGAGGCTGCAAACCAGACACTTTCCTCAACAAACACACAACTATAGTCTTGAAGGTAAACACTGATATGTTTCTTAGCCTCACTTTTTTTTATCTCTGCATCAGGTAGACTGCATAAGTTGGCTATTACATTGAACCTGTCATACACTACTTGGTATGCTACCCTGCGTTGTGTTGTAAGGCAACATACAACTGATCTAAAATGACATTGAGAGTTTCACATCTCAATTTTTCTCAGAGAGACAGTACAACTTACTCTGAGACTGATGTTGGGTTTGCATCATATTGCTTGATTCTCTTTCTTTGTCTGCTTGTAGTTGATTTGTAGTCTGTGTTGCCACAGGTGTTCCTAACATCCATTTCCAGCTCTTCATACCTATCTCGAATTGATTTCAGAAACCTTTCTAGAGAATCAATTAAATCCACCACTTTTTTTCAGGTCAACGTCAAGATCTTGGAAAACTTTGCTTGCACTGTTGAACAGTATACAGATTATGTTCCAGATCTTAGCAATCAAAGCAGTTTCAAGACAATCCCATTTTGTCTCCCAATGCCTGAGGCTCATGTCTTACTTCGGGTGTTTGCTCCAAGTCACTCTCAGTGTCTCTGATGGCATTTTGAATAGAGTTGTATCCATGTACATGGGCTTCAGTAGCATCAGCTCTTGTTGGCCAACGAGTGCCTGAAAGAGAGACTTCACAGTTAGTGCTCTTTTCTTTCCATCCAGAGACTTCATTAGATTTGCCCATCTGCGTGTTGACGCAGAAAAAAAAGAGGTATAAGCTCTGTATAAAGCCAAAATAACTAACAGCTTCCACACAGCAGTAGCAGCAGCCTGTCTTACAACATTCAGTGAGTGAGCAGCACAAGGAATAAAAACTGCTGCTGAGTTCTTATTTTTAAGTCTTGTCTGCGTTCCTGTGTAGCAACCGGACATATTATTGGCATTGTTGTAGGACTGCCCTCTGCAATCTTCAAAATTAATACCTTCTTTTTCTAGAAATTTTATCAGAGATGCAGTCAGTACTTCAGTCTTGTGAGAACTAGTCTTCAGGAAAGTTAAAAATCTTTCTACCGGCTTTCCAGAAACGACATATCGCACAATCACTGTTAGCTGGTCAACATGAGCCAGGTTTGTCACAACATAATTCCGAACATATTTTGCCATCAGCAGAACAATTTCTTCGTAGATTGTTGGTGATAAGTATGAGTGCTTACCACTTCCAGGATTTCCAGATTCTTTCAGGTGTCACATCAGAAATGGATAAATTTGTGCAAATAAGTTCCATGATTCCTAAAAGTGTCCATCATGCTAGGATCCTATGATCTCTTCACTATCCGTAAATGCCAGGCCTCTCTCAGCTAAAAAGACTGTCACTGCCACAACACTGCGCAATACTTAACACCAGTATTTCTTGCTTTCATGTACTTGTTTCTCCAACTGCCTATCAACATGAGATGAGTTCTTACATCGAAGATTAAACTTTAGCACAGAATTTCGGTGACCTTGACTTTTTTCATGAAATTTTATTTTTTTCCTCTGCTTTTTTGCAGTCATTAAAGCCATCCTTGCTGGAAAACCTGTCACATCCGCTGGACATCAGAGTACAAAAAAAACAATAAACATCACCCTTTGATGGGCTGTACAGGAGGGACTTTCTCAAATGTTGCTCACCATTATTCTGAATAAAGTAAAACATGGAATTCTTGAAATGACGACAATGCCTGTCCAGCTTGCCCTGACCTGACTGATAATAGCGTCGAAATTCTGAGTACGAGTCAGAATCAGTTTTGTTTTGACATTTGGTGGCAGTTGACCAAAAGGACACATGCTTTTCTCTGACAGGAAACCACATGGCTGGGTCTGAATCATGTCTACAGAAATATCTGTAGAATATGGTTGTGGTGATTCATCACCTTTACTATCTTGATTTGTAATTACAAAACGATGATATATAGCAAACCTTTGTGAGCAACACACAAATCTAAAACACGGACACCATTACCCCACACCATTGCCTAGCACTAAAAGCGGTCGACGAACACACACAGACACATATATAGCCCCAGGCCACTAATTGACTCGTTGGTCATTGACCGCTACACTGACACTAACCAGAGGTCGACATAGCCAATCAAATCCATAGCTACCTCACACACACAGATACAGACACACATGCACACACAAACACACGTGCATGTGTGCGCCCTAGTAACCTCTGACCTCATGGCCTCATTTACCTCTAAATTGATGCTAACCATAAATAGTTAAGCCAAGTTATTCAAAGGGAGAGGGGATAGGGGGCATCCTTTTTTCTATTTTCTGATTCTCCACACACTTTGTTAATTCCTTTTATTAATTAAACTAGTTTTTTATTATTACATTTTGTTACAAAGGAAGTTCTTTGTCTGGGGCCCCTCTGGTAGGGGGGAAGGGAGCAGTTGCCTCCTTTGCCCCTTTATAAATCCGGCCCTGTCTCCGGGATAGTAGGTGCTACTGATCCTCTGGGATAGTAAGTGTTACTGACCCTTCAGGATAGTAAATATTACTGGCCCTCCAGGAGAGTAAGTGTTAATGACCCTCCGGGACAG